ATTTTAAATGTTAATTATTGTAATATTTTAATATTTAATAAGAATTTATTGTGATTAGACGGACAAGATTTAATATATACTTATTATATCACAATATGACGCAACTTTACCATCTTAAGAAAACATAAGCATATTAAAAAATATGTAGGAAGAAAGAATATAAATTACTGTATTAATTATAATAGAATGTCAGCGGTAGTATTAAAGTCATCACGACCCATAAGAAGATAGAGCTAAGAGAGATTTGTTAGTTACTGTAAAATAGCGAAAAGTGGATGCAAAATATTAACAAATTAAAAATATAAGAAAGTTGTAAATACTGGTGAATTTAATAACAAAAGAAAAGTTGAGTGAGCATTATATACTGATATGGAATACAGAAATAAATGAAGAAGAAATTCTGAACGTTAAGCAGAATAATCATGCCCTGACAAAATTCAAAGTTGTTTTATAAAAAAGTTTGAAAACTGAAAGTGTCCGGAAGTGGATAACGACAAGTTCTGACGAACGTAGTAAATTTAAAACAGAAGGACTACGAACATTAATCAGCCACGTACTGAAAAGTTGAAGGGCTAAAATTATTTGTACAAGGAAAATAGTAGAAACTTTAACAAACAAAGAAACACGGATAAGAAATAAATATCTCAACCTTCAAACTCTTTCCTTGTTAATACGTTTCACATTAAAGTCAACAAGTTAAGAGACACACAAACACGCGCGCATTGCTTTTAAAATATTCCGTTTTCTCGTTAATAAATTTCCGATAAATGAATTAAATAACAGAGAAAATTCGAAACAACATATGTTCGTACATTTTACTCATAAAAGTTGGAATTAAGTACATTCCATTGCAGTTCGCTCCAGATTTTTTTTGTGAATATGAAGGTAAGCTGGCGAGCGTTTATTAATAAATATTATGTCGAAAAAAAACAATGCCTATGCCTCTGTTGTACTTTAGTACGGCATATTTTCTCTCTCAGAATACAGAGCTATGAAGAACGCGTGTGGAAAACGCATTCCGGTACTGATTACACCTCCCAAGTCTCTAATTAACCAATCGTGAACGTTTCGTTACTTAAATATCGATCCCAAATAATCATGTGTCAGCGTAATAATTGGAATATTGGTTTATTAAATATCGTGTTAGAGAATTTATTATACCAGGAATTTTAATCGGGAGTTCCTTTGTATTTTTAGGAATACGTAAATACCTTCCGCTGTTCGGCTGTTTATAACGTTCGAGTCAAGCAATCAGATGTGTTAAATGTAGCAGAGAAATGACGCTTATGATGAAGTGTAAAATCATTGCATTAGAATATGTCATTACAGCTAGACCATTTTCTGATTTTATACATTAAGATGTTTCAAATAATAAGAATTTAAAGTAGATTCAACTTTTACTTAAAATGTTAAGATAAAACTTGAGTCTTTGAATGGTTAACTTCCAAGTTATTGCCCGCAAGATCCTCCGACTTACACCTGCCCAATTTTTACTTACGGGTTTATCTTAGAAGTACTGTAACGCAGTAAGAATGAAATGCGCGCAGACACGACCATAAGGAGAAGTATTTAATCCTGAGGGAATTATCCGAAACGCAGCCAGGGTTCGTCCGTGTGTGCCCTGTTAATCCGGCGCACCTTTCCTCGTGTCT